ACTGAATCTAAAAGAAAATGATTTTGTTGAAGATGGTGAACTGCAAAATCACTAGATGTATTTGAATGATTGGGATGGCACATCATCGAGCTGCACTTTATATAACCAAAGCTTAGCAGTTTGTTAGATACATGTCTCTGGTTAGAATGAAGTTAATTTTTTGTTTTTAACATGGTATTTTTGAAGGAGCTAATGAAACACTGGACATATCATTGATTTAAACATCTAAGGAGAATTAAATCTTTGTAGTTTATCGTATTTTAAAGTGGATCTCCTTGGATGCATTATTTTCTTATCAGCTGGCTCTGATTATGAATTTATTGGCAATTTCATATCATAAATACTCAGTGCACTTAAAAATGGTACAATATTTTAATCCTGACTATGACTTGACAGAAGTGTGAAGGTAGTACTTACAGTGCGCTGGGTGCACTTTGCATCTTCATTTTAGTGTTTCTTTTACATCTTATGTTTACAGGCTTCCTGTTTCATGAAGATAGCATATGGAAAACTCAGAATGGTGGCAGTTCTTATTATCAGTTGTCAATATTGTTTCTGAAAACTGCCTGCCAAAACAATTTGCTTTGTGTTTATGTGTACTTTATTTCCACCATTGTCATAATTTATATGGTATGGTTGAAAAGGATGCAATCTTTTGTTGTCTAAAGGTGCTGCAGGTAAAAACAAATATTTGTCTTTCAGTATGGCGCACTTAGTAGAGTTTTTTTTAAATTTTACATTAAAATCATTAAAAAAACTTGTTAAAATCATTGTGATAGTATATAGTAGTTTATAAAGGAGGAATTATCAGCTTTTATTTTCCCATGAATGACTGAGAACTCACATTAATTTTCATCATGTTCAAGTGTCTCGCCACACTTCATGTGTTTCTTTTGCAGAATGTAAAAGAAAGGTAATGATAATTAGTTTATGTAAGTGTACTGGCTGTACATGATGCTAAATATATTTTATGCAATTAAGGGCTTACATAACATGTTAAAACTTTTTTTACTTTTATTGGTGATAAGGAATGTTTGCGCCCTCACAATTATATTGCTTCTGGATGTGAAATTATATAATTATTTCTGCTATTATATTAAGTGCCATAATTTTAATAAAGCAAAATGTACATATGAAATTATTGTAACTGATTATTTCCTGAGAAATAGTTCATGAGGATGTATTTTTATTTTATTTTATTTATTCTGTCTCACTTTGTTGCCCTCAGTGGAGTGCCATAGTATCACAGCTCACAGTAACTTCCAACTGTTGAGCTGAAGTGATTCTCTTGTCTCAACCTCCCAACCAGCTGCGATTAAAGATGCCTGCCCCAATGCCAGGCTGCTTTTATAGACGGGGCCTCAGTTTTGCTCAGGCTGGTCTTAAACTCCTGAGCTCAAGTAGTCCAATCACCTTGGCCTCTCAGAGTGCTAGAATTACGGGCATAAGCCACCATGTCCAGCCAGTTCATTGGGATGTAAACCATATCTTCCTACATTAAGTTTTGGGGTATGTGTATGTGTTTATTGGAACAATTAGTATAGAATTTTCCTATATTTTTATGCTGGAATTTTAGCAAGTTTCTTTTTTAGGATTAATTAATTATAAAGTATTTGGTATATGCTAGGTTTATTAGGTGCTTACTGATTTAGTTAAGAGTTTATTTCACCTTTTTTAGGGAGTAAGATTAGTTGATATACATTAGAATCTTCATAGTTCACCACCTCCCTACATTGACCAGCTCCTTAATTGATGTAATTTTTGTCGACCATACATGTACTACATGTATGTATCAGTAAAGGGCCCACTTCTTTATGCTGACCACCTCCATATATTGATGAGTTTGTTACAGTTCCTTGAGTTGTCAACTTAACAGAGGTTCTACTGTATATTGTGTATGTATGTATTTGGAAATAGATGGATTAAATAAGGTTCTCCTGTAGGCGGGGAGTGAATTGGTATTTCCCTTTCCTCAGAGAATAGCTGCATGTCTGAGGTTAATTCATACGTGAGCCCTGACAGATAGGGAAAGTTCACCTTTACACCTGAGGCCCAGGTCTACAAAGTTAGGCAGATAAGGACCAAGAGTTCTGTGTTATAAGAGCGACCCAAATTTCTTTCTTATTTAAATCTTACATTGAAGTTCAGATTCAGCACGTAGGATATATTTTATTGCTTTTGAATATTACAATGTATACAGAAACCTGGTCTGGCCTTTGTGATAGTTGACCTAGTAGGAGTTTTGCAGAACCCCACCACCTTCTGCCTTTTCAGAAGAATTGCTTCCACCCTCCTACCCTAGTCCCCAGGGGAGAGAGACTTATCTGATATATGAACTGGAGGGAAGGGTCAACACATGTGGCTAGACCCTTGAATTTGAGCTTGTTTGCCTTCAGAGAAGGGCGTACCTGGCTGTCCACATAGCAAGCTGTGGGAGTTGGAGGCCTGTAGTTTTGCTGTTCCCGTTTTATTCAGTTGTAAAGTATTAGCAAGTACCTTATGCTGCAAAACAAAAGTCTTTACTGTCAAAACTTATATTTGGATCTTCATGTTTTTAACTCATGTCTACTCAGCTGATGAAGTGGAAAAGAAATTAAGTGATAGTTTTGAATCCATAAAATAACATTTAATAGTCTATAACCACTTAGTATAATAGGAGTATTGGTTTATATACATTGTTATGTATGTACATAAATGTGACCTGGGACCATCAGTGAAAATTTAATTACATTGTATATTGTGTTTGAGAAGACAGATTTATGCAGTACATTTTTGAGGATAGCCCATCTAAAAGCTCTGATTCTAATGCTCTTTCCAGAGAACGCAGCTATCTATAACAGCTTTAGGAATGATTCGATATAGCTATGGAGCAAAAAATAACTTTAACTTTTATTCAAAAGGTTGTATTTTCCATCCCTTCGCCTTGATTTCTTTTCCTTGACCTCACTCTATCATCTAAGTGCCATTTCTCGGACATGTACTATGAAAACCAAGCTGGTTTATAAATGTTCAGTGATCCTATGTTGTGGCCAACTGGGATGAAGACATGTTTTGCACAAACATGGACTAGGAGAGTAAATACGATGAAATAGCAGAACTATTATATTTGCTATGATAATAGGTACATTGCAGTAAGAAAGCTGATAGTAATCTTAAAAGTTAGGACTGAATTAAATGGAAAATGTGAATGCCAATTTATAATTGACAGCACCCAATTCCCCGTGAAACTTGTGCATTACAGTTAGAGTTGAGTTTGCTCTTCTTGGGAAGCACTGTATTTTTATTTTGCAATCTCAAGTGCTGATCCATACTAACAAGTTAAAAATAGGAGTTGTTATAAGTGGACTACACGGTTAAGTGAACATATTAAAATAAAACAGCTCTAGAAATAAAGAAGTTACTTTTCTACTTTTGATTCTGAGATGATAGAAAATGAATTTGAACTTGTTTTTACAGTTACAAACCCTTCATGAGAAAGTGGCAATGCTGTTGGTCTGACTACAATCTTGAGCTGTTTGGAAATTCTTACTATAACAGGTAAAACAAAACTAAAAGCAAATCCCACCATTTTTTGTTATGGAGGGCATCTTACAAAGTAAGTGAGTGACCGACACAAAACAAACCTGTCTCAATATGTTTGGTGTGCTCTACTTGATACACGTAGTAACTTGTAAAACCAACTGGCACTAAACATTTTCACAAGCTATGAGCATCTGCTATCTTTTATGTACTGCACAGAGGTAAGTACCTGGGCTGAACAGGTAGGAGTCCCACTGTACACTGATCAAGCCCACTGATCTTGGTAGGTGACTAAATCCCTTTGGGCTCCAGTTTCTGCATTTGTTAAATATAATTCCATCTGTCCAGTTTTCACACAGGTGGATGTTTGGATGGAATGAGAAAGCATATCAAAGTTTTTCAAAGTGAAAATAGCTATGCAAACATTTTGGTTTGATTGCAGTAATTGCTATGTGATTGTGTGACTTGCCCCATCTGAGCCTTGTCACTAGACACTTTGGGAAAAATATTGTCTATCTCATAGTGGTATTGTGAGGATTAAAGAAGCAAGACACTCAAACTGTGGAGTCTCTGAAAAATACAGGTTAATGTTTATTGCTCACACGACTAATTTTGTGTAATTTATTCCTTGGACTACATACTGACAAATCAGATCAACCCTTTAAAACTTGAAGATTTTCTTTGTTTCTTTGTTTCTTTCTTTTTTTTGAGACAGAGTCTTGGTCTATTGCCCTGGGTAGGGTGCTGTGGAGTCATCCTCACAGCAACCTCAAACTCCAGGGCTTGAGCTTCAGCCTCCCAGTAGCTGGGACCAAAGTTGCAACCCACAGTGCCCAGGTAATTTTCCTATTTTTATTATAGTAGACGTGAAGTTTCACTCTTGCTAAGGCAGATCCTGAACTCCTGAGCTCAAGCAATCCTCCCATCTTGGCTCCGAGCACACTTGGATTACAGGTGTGAGCCACTGCACCTAGTCTAAAATTAAAGATTTTTATGTGAAACTTCAAACCCTTTGCATCAAACTGAAGGGAGAACTTGAAGTTTGAGTGGTAGGAAATGCTGCATAGAAGTTTGGGGACATTTTAGCACTGACCAATGCGACTTTTATAGGGAGTTACATATCCACAATCAAATGTCATAAATCAATTTCACACAGCAACTCAACATTTGTTGCACACTGACACATACAAGGGATAGGGAGGGAGGAGGGAAAAAGAACATTTGAAATTGTTCTCATGAAAATTGATCCAAGGGAATAAATACATTGCTTTAGTATTTCTTCTACTTTTTGTTTCTAACATCCATGTGCCATTTTGAGATCATGTAGTTTCTGAGTTCCTCTGGAAAGCATGTCCTCCTGCTTCCTGTCCGTGGTCACCTTCCCAGTCCTATAGGATGTCCAGCTGCTCCCCGAGTGGGAGGGCCTGAGGCCAGCAGCCTGTACAGCTCCTTGGAGGGGCAGATGCTCTGTGGGAGAGGTGGGCAGCTCAGAGACAGACGTGACTATGCTCCTGGCACGTGGTGCCCACGCCAGCCACTGACAGGTACAGCTTCCCATCTGGACATGAACAAATCTCATAGAGTCCCTGTGAGCTGGCAGTGGGACCCCAGGTCCCCTGCACCAAGTTGGGTAAACACACAGTTTCAGCATCAAGCACAAGCTGTTCAAGAGAAGTTGAGAGGTGAGATGTTAAGGGAAGAATGAATTCTAATCAACAGGAAAGTCATTGCCTCAAAATGTTTCAACAAATTAGTTTTTCTCTTCATAGAAAGTGAAATAGGCACCTGCCTTTATGTAAGTCACATTGTAACTATCTGATTCTTTTAGAACCTGGTTCTAACACACAGGCAGGGGTTTGACAATTCCCCCTGGTTTGACAATTCCCCCTCCGAGTCTGAGCGAGCCCACTTTTTCTTCTTCCCATGTGCTAGGCCAGCTGGGAACTGTGACCCTACTGCAACAACACGCAGCAGTCTGTGCATTCGGTAAACCAAGTTGCATTTCGGTTTTATGATATTACATTCCTAATTCAGAATTACTTGTGAAAAATAATGGATTCATGTTTATCTTCTTAGCTACTTTGACTTTGTGCTATATCATCTGCTCCCCATCAGGATAAATTATAATCTACAGAAATAGATCTTAATCATTTTTGCCTTTGAATGCCGACATCTCCCTAACTTTTAAACAGTAAGTTCAAACTCCACTATCTTCCATCAGATGCTGAAAAGCAGTAGACACACAGACTAAAGCTGATTAAAATGAAAGGGACTGGGTTTTATGGTCATATTATAATTTAGTTAAACTGAAATACAAACAATTAGCCATTGAGGGGTGTTAGCAAATCTTTGTGATAAGGATATAAAAATCGTCACACGGAACAGCCAAGCCTTGCCTACTCCAGGGCACTCGCTTGTCAGGAGGAATTAGGGTATGTTGTGGGTAGGTCCAGTTTTCTTCCTTGCCAACAAAGGTGAGCTCCTGCTGCTCTTTTCTGTAGCTCTCAGCCATGGCTTCCAATGGAACTGACCCCTGCCTGCCACCCTGGGATCCCAACCCACCCCATGCAGTGTGAGGGGCCTACAGCAGTGGTGTCACAGGCAGAGTGTGGCCCTGTGTGATCTGCTATAATGTCTGACTCAAGCTGAAGAGGTACTATTTTATTTTAAAGCAGAATCCCTGTCAGTCGCTGCCTAGTGCCTTGGGTTCTCCAAGTATTTGTGCTTCTCTAACACCCTTTAACTTGTTGCTTTTCCCATCCCCTGTCTTGTAGCTAATTGGTCAATTTTTTTCAAGTTGTCATTTTTTTCCCTACTTTTCCAGCAAATTCTCGTCACTGATAGTCCACATACTGCGTTCCTTGCTCATATTCATTTGCCTATTTGGTGGGAGCCTGGACATCACTTTGAACTACTTCCTCCTAGGAAGAAGTGTCCACCTTAATGATTGGCCTGGCTGTGTGTCATTTGTAAACATGACCCCTAATTCATGGAAATAAGTAATATCATTTCAAAATTAAGATCAGTTTAAATTCTTTGAAGGTGCACTTTAAGGGTACAGTGACTTTCAGGGTATAGTGACATTATAATCCGGTAATGAGATTCCAACATCTTGGTTTCCATTCTGCATTTATTGGCTGCTGCCCTCACGGCCTCTTGTGATGACAGCACATACACCCTTGCCTATCATCTCCCCTTCCTATTAATATCAAGTTAATGTAATTTCAAAATGTTGGCACCCATATCACCACATTAGTGTCTGAAAACCTGGTGATATAGTTAAGCAAATATTATTTTCTCTTTTGGACAAGTAAGAAGATGGGCCCACAGAGAGGCAGTTAACTTCCCTGAATTGTAATAGGTAATTAGTAAATTGATCTGGCACTAGAGCTGAAGCCTCCTAGCCCCCTGCCCTGTCCTTTGCCCACTGCAACTTGTTTCACATGTGGGGCCTGGGTGTTGAGCCTGGGTGTTGGCTCAGGGTGATAATCCATCTCAGCAAGAGAGTGGGAATCGTCCTGCTCTCTCACTGTACTAGTGGCTTTCATGGACACTTATTTCAACACCCCCCCTACTTTCCCCCAGGAAGCATAATGGCAGCATAGACAAGCACAACCCAGTCACTCACTGAAAACTGCTGCTAAGAGAGAGCTATTTAAAAGAAAATCTGTGGAGCACTGCCCTATTTTGTGCATATTCATAGATATGAAAACAGCCAGGAGTAAGAGAAGATGACATCAGTTGTTTGTAAAGATTTATAGCCTAGTACCATATAATTAGAATCAGCTTATACGCTAATGCCCTTGGTTTTCTTTTTCTCTGCCACACATTGGAAGAATAAGAGTTGTTTTGGGCCACACATTAAATACACAAACTCTATTGTAAGCTATGATAATTAGCAAAATGGCCCATGCATACTTTTGGTGATATCTGACACCATAGATAAGCAAAAAAAAAAAAAAAAAAGTCCCCACAAAATTAGCATGTGGCCTCAGGCTGCTTTTAAGAACATTTCTAATATGTCTGATTTTTCAGCTGACTGAGCTTTTTCCTTTTTTTTTTTTTAGCTGGAGTCTGAATAATCTGCATTGAGTACCCTGTGCTATTAGCCTCACTGTGACTCTGGTTTGTGTCACTCATCCCTGCTCTCCACCATCCATGGATTCACTTTCCTCAGTCTTAGTTATCTGTAGTCACCTGAGGTCAGAAAATATTAAATCGAAAATTCCAGGAATTGGTTCGGCACCTGTAGCTCAGTGGCTAGGGTGCCAGGCACATACACCAGAGCTGGCAGGTTTGAATCCAGCCCGGGCCTGCATAACAACAATGACAACTACAACAACAACAAAAATAGCCAGGCGTTGTGGCGAGTGCCTGTAGTCTCAGCCTTGGGAGGCTGAGGCAAGAAAGTCGCTTAAGCCGGAGAGTTTGAGGGTGCTGTGAGCTGTGATGCCATGGCACTTGACCCTGGGTCCAGCATCTCCCCTCTGTCCATGCTGCCCACCTGTTAGTCACTCACCAGCCTCTGCACTGTTGGATGGACTGTTAAGGTATCTGGGTGCTTATATTCAAGTCTCCTTATTTTACTTAATAATGGCCCCAAAGCACAAGAGTGGTGATGCTAGCATAGTTGCTCTATTTTATTTATTTATTTATTTTTTTATACCTCTTTTAAAATTAAATTTTAGCTGTGTACATTAATGCAATCATGGGGTACAGTCTGGTGTTTTCATATACAATTTGAAATATTTTTATCAAACTGGTTTACATAGCCTTTATGTCTTTTTCTTAGTTATTGTGTTAAGACATTTATATTCTACTTTTAGAAAGATTCACTTGTACCCTTGAAAGACAAACCATAGAGGTGATCCCTCCAATCACCCTCCCTCCACCCATCTACCTCCCTCCCCTTCCATTCCCCTCCCCCCCCCCCATATTCTTAGGCTATAATTAGGTTATAGCTTTCATAGGAAAGCTATAAATTAGTTTCATAATAAGGCTGTGTACATTGGATACTTTTTCTTCCATTCTTCTGATACTTTGCTAAGAAGAACATTTTCCAGCTCCATCCATGTGAACACGAAGGAGATAAAGTCTCCATCTTTCTTTATGGCTGCATAGTATTCTATGGTGTACATATACCACAATTTATTGATCCATTTGTGAATCGATGGGCACTTGGGCTTCTTCCATGACCTGGCTATTATGAATTGGGCTGCAATAAACATTCTGCTACAAATATTTTTGTTGTAATGTGGTTTTCAGTCTTCTAGATATATTCCTAATAAAGGATTTAATTGCAGGGTCAAACGGCAGGTCTATTTTTAGTTCTCTAAGCATTCTCCAGACATCTTTCCAAAAGGAACGTATTAGTTTGCATTCCCACCAGCAGTGTAGAAGTGTTCCCTTTTCTCCACATCCACGCCAACATCTCTGGTTTTGGGATTTTTGTGATATAGGCTAATCTTACTGGAGTTAGGTGATATCTCAAAGTAGTTTTGATTTGCATTTCTCTGATAATTAAGGATGGTGAGCATTTTTTCGTATATCTGTAGGTCATTTCTCTTTAGAGAAATTTCTATTCAAGTCCCTTGCCCACCCTGAGATGGGATCACTCATTTTCTTCTTGCTAATATGTCTGAGTTCTCTATGGATTCTGGTTATTAAACGTTTGTCAGAGACATAACCAGCAAATATCTTCTCCCATTCTGAGGGCTGTCTGCTTGCCTTACTTACTGTGTTCTTGGCTGTGCAGAAGTTCTTTAGTTTGATCGGTCCCATTAGTGTATTTCTGATGCTGCTTCAATTGCCCGAGGGCTCCTCCTCATAAAATTTTTGCCCAAGCCAATTTCTTCAAGTGTTTTCCCTACACTTTCTTCTAGTATTTTTATGGTTTCATGTCTTAAGTTTAAATCTTTAATCCAGTGAGAGTCTAACTTAGTTAATGGTGAAAGGTGTGGGTCCAGTTTCAGTCTTCTACAGGTTGCCAGCCAGTTCGCCCAGCACCATTTGTTAAATAGGGAACCTTTTCCCCACTCAATGTTTTTAATTGGCTTGTCAAAGATCAGGTAATGGTAAGTAGCTGGATTCATCTGTTGGCTCTCTATTTTTGTGCCAGTACCATGCTGTATTAATCACTATTGATTTATATTATAATCTGAGGTCTGGTAGCGTGATTCTTCCTGCTTTGTTTTTATTCCTGAGTAATGTCTTGGCTATTCGAGGTTTTTTTCTGATTCCATATAAAATGAAGTATTATTTTTTTCCTAGATCTTTAAAGTATGACAGTGGAGCTTTAATAGGGAATGCATTAAAATTATATATTGCTTTGGGTAATATGGACATTTTAACAATGTTGATTCTTCCCAGCCATGAGCATGGTATATTTTTCCATTTGTTAACATTTTCAGCTATTTCTTTTCTTAGAGTTTCATGTTCTCTATATAGAGATCTTTCACATCCTTTGTTAGGTAAACTCCTAAATATTTCATCTTCTTTGGCACTACTGTGAACAGAATAGAGTCCTTGACTGCTTTTTCAGCTTGGCTGCTGTTGGTATATATAAAGGTAACCTGAGATGCTGCTGTATTCCTTGATCACTTATAGGAGTTTTGTAGTTGAATCCCTGGTGTTTTCCAGATATACCTGTGAAAAGTGAAAGTTTAATCTCTTCTGACCCTATATAGATGCCCTTAATCGCCTTTTATTCCCTAATTGTGATGACTAAAACTTCCATTACAATGTTAAAGAGCAGTGGAGACAATGGGCAACCTTGCCTGGTTACTGATCTGAGTGGAAATGATTTCAGTTTAACTCTATTCAATATGATATTGGCTGTGGGTTTGCTGTAGATGGCCTCTATCATTTCAAGAAATGTTCCTTCTTTGCCAATTATCTTAAGTGTTCTGATCATGAAGGGATGCTGGATATTACCAAAAGCTTTTTCTGCATCAATTGAGAGAATCATATGGTCTTAATTTTTTAATTTGTCTATGTGATGAATTATATTTATAGATTTATGTATGTCTAACTATCCTTGAGATCCTGGGAAAAACCCTTTGGTCGTGGTGTATAATTTGTTTGATGTCTTGAGACATCTTTTGAATAATTTCTTGAGATATCTTTTGAATAATTTCTTGAAATTCTAATTCCCTCCTTTCCTCCAATCTGTTAATCTTATTTGCTATCCAGATTCTGAACTCCATTTCTCTTATCTCAGCCATCTGTTTGTGGATGGGATCTTGAATTGCTTCTGCTCCATCCTTCTTTGGGGGACTTGATCTACTCTGGTTATTCTGGTTACCAGAGTTTTTCTGCTGATTCCACCCCATGGTGAATTTGACCGTTTGGAGACCGTCCCAAAACCATTCAGCCTGTGGCTGCCACTGGAGAAGATTCTGGATTCCTCTGGTTGCCAGGAGAGATAGGGTGTGTCTGTCCAGAAAAGCCTCAGGGGTGTGAGCCTTATTGTTCTCGCTGCTGCGGCTGTTGCTCTTCAGTCAAACAGTCCTTGACATGCCCTGCTCAGGTGCCCAGGGGCAGCAGTGAAGCGGTCGCAGCCATGCAGGGGATGCATGGGTCAAACAGTCCTGGGGTGCCCCACTTGGGTGCCCAGGGAGCAGTGGCCAAGTGGCAGCAGCCTAGGGGGATGCATGGGTGGAACAGTCCTTGGTGTGCCCCACTTGGGTGTCCTGGGGGTAGAGGCTAAGCGGCAGCAGCCTGTGGGGGACGCACAGGTCGATCAGTCCTCAGGACACCCTGTTGGGGTGCCTGGGCGGGGGCAGTGGCTGAGTGGCAGCCATGCAGGGAACACACAGCCCAAGCAGTTCTCTGGCTGCAGGGCTTCGACAGGGTGCTTGGTCCCGCTGGTGTGCGGGGACACTGTTCTTGGGCCTCCTCTCACTGTCTCTGTAGGCAAGGGGGGAAGGGTGGACTGGGAATTCAAAATGGCAGGGAAATGTTAGTTCAATTTTTTTGCCTGGCTAGAGGATGTTTGAAGTCTCAGCAGGGTCCCTCTAGGGGAGTAGACCCCTCTTTCTGTAGCTCTCACACATGGGGTAAGACAATAAGTCCTCAGTTTACTGCTTGCCTGTAGGAAACTTACAGGAGCAGACAAAGAGAAAAAACACAACTTTCTTGGGGGAGGGGACGGACACTCTTCCTTCAGGATGTATTATGAACCTGTAGATTGCTTTCTAGGAGTCGCAACTTGCCTCAGCAGAGTTGTCCTGTAGATATCACTCTTCTCGCTCAACGGGGCTCCTAGTCTTCAACTTTGTTGGGTATTTTCTGGAATTTATCCTTTCCCCTGAATGGGAGCTTCTGTCGGAGGCTGGTACCTGTTGGCCATCTTGCTCCTCCCCCAGTTACTCTATTTTATTATACGCTATTGTTCTTAATCTCTTACCATGCCTAATTTATAAATTAAACTTCATCACAGGAATGTACATATAGGAACAAACATAGTATATGTAGGGTTTGGTAATAGCCAAGGTTTCTGGCTTCCCCTGGGGGTCTTGGAATATACCTCCTGCAGATAAGGGGAGACCATTACATTTCTAGACTTGAAGTCTCAGATTTTATCTTTATTTTCATTGACTTTTGGAAAAGGCTCATATTTCATTTACACTTAATTCCATGCGATAAGCACAGCACTCTGGGCAACCACATGATAGTTTTCATGTACAGGGAGCTCCTAGACTGTCCTACTGAGATAGGCCGGATCCCTAGGAAGTGGCAAAATTGATAGTTTCTGTGAAGTCTGAAAGTCTATAGCATTTCTTCAAAGTTGAAAATGACAAATGACTTAATAGCACAAATACTAACTAAAGAAAGCAGTCTGCATCTACTCTAGAATAATTTTTACCTTTCTTGGCTCGCTACCAGTGTGCTGAGTTATTTCTTGTGTTCTTGTCACATTTTCTACTCTGCCTTTCATAATGTGTTGTTGCAAACTACCAGAAACTTAATTCCATAACTCAATAGATGTGATAGTCAAGAATACCATGAGAACATACGGGAGGCACTCCATCTATTGAACTCACCATTCCATCACTACTCTGGAAAATGATATCCTCCTGAGAAAGGCCCTCGATTTTTCCAACATTGGCTTTAATATGAACACCTGTTGGGGCATCCATGCGTAGACTCCGTGTGGGGGATTCTAACCTGAAATGAGGAAAAGAAGCAAAGAAGAGAGTATTTAAAAAAAAAAAGCCATTTCAGCAATCCCTCAACCAAAGGCTTAACATAGAAAACAAAGATATATAGAATTTTCCTAAATGCTAACATATTGTACATTATTCATTGATAAATTCAGAAATAATAGGTAATAAAAAATAAACTTCCTATTAATAAGAGCCTATGAAATTCATATTCCCTAAAAACCAGAAATATTAGTCAACCCCAATCCTATGCAGTAGTTTCAGGTGGCTGGTTAAGCATTCCAGAAGACCACACCAGAAGAAAATACCATTGGTGAATAAGTGGGCAAAATTAGTGTTTAGTTAAAACACAAACTCGTTTGGAGGATAGACAGACATCAAGACAATGCCTACACTCGCCACACATTCATGAGACAGTATAAGTTGGGTTTTTGGATTTCATTTGCCGGGTTTTTTTATTTTTAAATTTAGAAAGATTACAAGGCAGATGAAAAGATTTCATTTGGAAAAATTATTGAACTGGTAGAGTTGATAGAGTTTGGCCAACACTCGTTCTGTTTTTTTCACATATAGGAGCAGAACCAAGGCTATACGGGCCAGAAAAATTCGGCTACTTGCCGCTGCCAAGAAAATACCGAATTTCCAGCAGATGGCGCAATGTAGTCACTTGAAAGATTTTCAGCTGCTCAGCACAAAAATTCAAAAAGCTGACTTCTTTGAAATCTTTAAAAAGCAGTAAAAGGAAGAACACAAAAAGACATATAATTCAGAAATCCTACCCACTGAAGGGTAGCAGTAGATGGAGGAGTGGTCTAAGAGGAGAGAGCCAGGAAAATGGCTTACGAGAGAAGTACCCTGATAACAAATTTGAGTTTAGATTGGCTGAGTGTTTATTCAATAGAACTTTTAAATCAGATGGATTGCTACCATAAATGGGCAAGGTTTTTTCTCAATCATTATTTGTTACACAAGACAAAGTTTCATTTTCCTATGTCCATCTGAGCATGTAAAATTTGACCTGCTACATATTTTGAAATCTTACCTTAATCTGAGAAAACTCTTAAAGACATTGGAATTTATTATTCAAATTAGGTGGTACTTGGTTTGTGGGGATACATTTTGGTATATTCCCATGTGCTTGGTGTGGCTGATTGCCTTCCAGTTTGCTATTTTGGCCTCCACCAACTGCTTACATTTTTCCTTCCTGGAGGGCAGGGAAGGAAGAACATGGAGCACCTTTTGAAGGCCTAGACCATCTCAGGTGAAGGGTCTGTCTGTGACTTTGAAGATCCTAGTGAAGATGAGTCTGTTTTCAAGATCAATTTTTTTTTTTTTTGAGACAGAGTCTCACTATGTCACCCTTGGTAGAGTGCTATGTCATCACAGCTCACAGCAACCTCAAACTGTGGGGCTTCAGTAATTCTCTTGCCTCAGCCTCCAAGTAGCTGGGACCACAAGCATCCACCACAACACCTGGCTGTTTTTCTGTTGTAGTTGTCATTGTTGCTCAGCTGGCCCAGGCTGGCTTTGAACCTGCCACCCTCAATGTATGTGGTTGGCACTGTAACCACTGTGCTATAGGTCCGGAGCCTCTAAGAGCAATTATTAAACTATAGTGACATGACCTCACTATTACCATTTACTAGTTTTTAACTGTATTATAATATGATGCTTTAAGAATAGCAAACTTATTACCCTTTGAAAAATTTCAGTTCTATCCAGGGTGAGACACACTTTGCCAAAAGACTGCGATAAAGTTGCTCTGAAGTATGGGTTTCCACGAACACACTGAACGGTACACAGACATAAAAGAACAATTTGTCTTTTTCATATTTTAATTTGCTCACTAAATATCTGTTATTTTCTTTGAATATGTAAACATGTAGATAATTACTTATGATTTAGATGCAGAGTAAAAAGTGTTTTGAAGAATTTCACAGAAATATATGGTGTCCATAAAGTTTGTGTGCAATTTAAACTAGTTTTATATTATAAACTGCACACTAACTTAATGGGTACCGTGTATATCCAAATGCTTATGTGTGTGTGTAGGGGCGTGTGTATATATTTGTGTATATATATGTGTGTGTAAATTCTCTTTCTATGTTAAATACAGTAGAACCTTCATAGCTGACCACCTCCAGACACTGACTACCTCCTTAAGTTGACCTAATTTTCACAGACCGGACATGCACCACATATCTGTATCAGTACAGGAGGCCTCGTTCCTTATGTTGACCATCTCTGTATGTTGACCAGTTTGTTACAGTCCCTTGGGTGGTCAACTTACAGAGGCTTCCTCATATTTAGGTCACAGCACAGCAGTTTTCCTCTCAGGACATAAAACACCAACTTTGCTTTCTAAGTTTGGTTTACTTTTTCCCAGGCTGGAGTATAGTGACACTATAGAGCTCATTGCAGTCTCCAAATCATAGGCTTAAGGAATCCTCCTACCTCAACTTCCCGAGTAGGTTGGGACCTCAGGCAAGCACTGTTATGCCCATTTTTTTTTTTTTTCTTTTTATGAGATGTAGTGATGTTGCTCAGGCTGGTCTACAACTCCTGGGCTCAATCCATCCTCCTGCCCTCAGCCACCTGAGTAGCTGGGCTTATTAATTCAATAAAAAGGAAAGGGAGAAAAAGTGAAAAGAAAAAGCAAAGTAAATAAAACATAACCTAAAATGACAGAAATGTGGCAAGTAAACCAGTAATCATAAAAAATAAGGGGGACAAATTAATCTGTCAAAAGAAAATCTTGGTCAGGTACTGTGGCTCAGGCCTGTAATCCAGCACTCTGGAAGATGGAGGTGGGTGGATTGCTTGAGCTCAGGAATAAGAGACCAGCCTGAGTGAGAGTGAGACCCTGTCGCTACTCAAAGTAGAAAAATTAGCTGGGTGTTGTGGCGGGTGGTAGTAGTCCCAGCTACTCTGAAGGCTGAGGCAAGAGGATCTCTTGAACCTAGGAGTTTGAGGTTGTGTGAGCTATGATGCCACGGCAATCTACCCAGGGTGACAGAGTGAGACTCTGTCATAAATAAACAAGTAAATGAATAGATAAAATAAAATATATAAAAATAAAAGAAAATCTCAAACCAAGAAATTTACCTGTAGATAAGCAACCAAAACATATTGCATACTGAAAGTAAAATGTTTGGATAGAAAGGACTAAATATAGCAATTAGACAAAATACTAATATAAGACAAAATAAGGTCAAAAGGGTGACATTACTTATGATTAAAAGGAATAATTCATAAAAAGATTAAGCATGGACTTGTTTATATCAAAAAATTAAAGCAAAAGAAAAAAATCCAAATGATTCCAAAATTATAGTGGAAATTTTAATAAGCCTCACCAAGAAACTGATAAAGAAAACAAAAATAATAAGTATATAAAAGATAACAATGTAATTCATAAAAGTGATGTAGTAACCACATATATGTGTTTATGAAGCTTGCATTACAGCAAAAAGAACATAATTTTACTATTAAAATTTATGGATAACTCTATGTCCATAATTTTGAGGGTTTTTTTTTTTTCATGTTTTTGGCTGGGGCTGGGTTTGAACCCGCCAACTCCAGCATATGGGGCCGGCACCCTACTCCTTTGAGCCACAGGTGCCACCCTATGTCCATAATTTTGAAATCTTGGGTTAGAAGGAAAATTTTTAGCAAGATAGAACCAGATGAACTTAAGCTTAAGAAGTAGAAAATTTGAACAAAGGAACTTCTTTAGAGAAATTGAGTTGAAAGCAAAAAAGAAAAAAAATATACAAATCTAAGCTTATAAAAAAGCACTGGTTCTTTTATTTCATAGAAGAATTTGTACCAAATATTCAATTGCTCTTATACACAATGTTTCAAAGACTAGAAACAGGAAAGCTACAAACTTAGGGCAAAATGGAACTTTCCTAACCTGATAACAGGTATTTCCCCAAAACATAATAGTAGATATCACTTAATTTGCAAACTCTGAAGCATTTCTTGAAGTCAGAAAGTAGACAAAGATGTCCACCATCATTGTTACTATTCAACACTTACTGAAGGTCCTAGCCAAAGTAATCAAACAAAGAATCTAAGAAGTATAATAATTAAAAAGAATGACTCTTTTTTGATAATATCACCATCTTTATTCACAAACCATTAGGTTCTACAGACAAAATATTAGAACTAAGCTGGACATGGTAATATCTGCTGGTGGTCCCAGCTACTCAAGAGAATGAGGTGAGAGGATCACTTGAGCTCAGAAATTTGAAGTTAGCTTGGTTAAAATAGAACGTCTCTCTCTCTCCAAACAGACATGGACTAATAAATGGGTTTGGCAAAGTTGCTGGCTTAAAAAGAATCATATAAAAATGAATAATAACCATTTTGAAAAGAACCCCGTCCTGATAGAAACAAAACTATGAGCAACCTAGCAATAAACTCTAATAATTATGGGTAAAAAGTAAATGAAGAAAAGCATAAAAGAAGACTATATGAATAGAGATATATACCATGCTTATGGGCAAGAGAATTTGTTTTTATAAAGACATGGAATCAGTGCAATTATACCTAAAAATCCAACAGAATTTTTCACGAAACTTGACATGGTTTTATTTATATGAAAAAAATGTCTAAAAATAGCAAAGACAATTCTGAAGAAGACATGGTGGGGACACTTGCCCTAGCCTAGCACACCCCAAGATATATTATCTAGCTGTTAAAAGATGATAGCTTAGTAAGAAAATAATAGAACAATAGGCCAGAATAAATAGCCCATTAAAACAGCTTTGTGCCTGGCAAAAGCAACATTACAAACAAGCAAAGAATTAATTGAATTTTGAGACAATTGGATATCCATTCAGAAAGCAAAAGAAAATTATTTGCCTACTTCATACCCCACATGAAAATAAATTTGAGTCAGAGTAAAGACCTAAATATGAAAAACAAAAATATTTTTGAAAGAACTCACTCCTTAATGTTCAAGCAGTGTTTTCTAATATATCCAAATTTATTTTCACAGAA